GTATTTATATACACAACCTTGAAAAAGGTTGGCCAATTTTTTATGTCTGCAGCAATGTTCTCCCGTGCAGTTGATTGTCACTCTGTGTTCTATACGTACCTATGCAATTCGCGATGTTTACTTTGACACAAAAAAGGAAGAAGGCAATCAAAGGAAAATACATTTAAGAATGATCAAACGGTACTTAAAATAGGTCATTCAAAATGTTAGGCTCAGAAATTACACGACACGGTTAGTGTGCAAGCTGCTAGAGTTTTCCAACGTCGGTACAGGTTTCGGGACAGCGCACATACGAGAACTGTTTTTTTTTTCTCTACATAGCTGCCAAATTTCTTCGACATGACGCCAATATATATATGACGTCTAATGAGACTTTTTTTGTTACTCACTTAGAGACATATTTTAAACGACCTGTATTCACCTTTCGAGTGATCTTACAAGTTAATGGAAGTGTCGTTGTAGAAACGCTTTCTGCAGTAACCGAACTCGAAAGATAGCACTTGTAGCGGGCATCTCAGGAGCAAAAAATGACATGTCTATACGGGCTTCTAGACTCTGTTTTCGTTCAGCGAGACCCGTTAGTCAATACTACGTGGGATCAATTAGAGCTAATTTGTCATTTCTCGATGAGTTGACATCATTGAAATCGTGGGTATTAGAATTGGAAAAAGCTTTCCCAAAGTACGAACGTTATACGCTTCATCTACTGTAAGTATCAGCATAGTTGATATCGAAGCGCACGATACTAAAACTTTTGTTAATTTCTTCCGGTTATAAGTACGAAGTCAAGCCGTGACATCAATGTCCCTAAGCCCTAAGTAAACGGCAGAATCTTGCTACCATTAGTAGATTATTTTTAATATGACCCATAGGTGTCTCATAGAAGATAGTAACTGATTGTGTCATTTCAGTGGTTGTGGGTATATCATTAACGTCGACGATGGTCTGTGGTGAAGCTGTTAATTAACCTGCTCGATGTAGTCTACTTTCACCGATTTTGTTTCTATGAATACCGTAAAAAAATGTGTTGATGCATCGATCGAGTCACTAGATGACTAGATGGTTCTCGAATCGAATGAATAAAGCAAGATGACTTGGGAACATATTTGGATGAAGATCATGGTAATAACTGTCATAAAGATGATTTTGATTGTGATCCCGGAAATACATTACGATAGAGCACGTGGTTAACCCCTGCGAAAACAATGTATTTGTTATATTCATATGATTTATTTATGCACGTCAAAAAATTAAGCATATTTTTGAGAAATACGAATTCAAGGTATAATTTTATAATAAGAACATGCTTTTTATAAAAAATCAATAGGAACTGTATTCAATCAAGTTTCCCTATACGCAAAGAAGTCAACTATTGCTAATCTTGAAGGTGTCACACTGAAGCGTATAAACAATTTCGAAGTCCCGCTTTGGTCTGTACAATATGATTCGAACGAAAACAGATGTACAATGCTGTACCAATCACCATTACATTTATATATCCATAAAGTATGTCGAACAAGGCTTCCATAGGCAACATATCTCTATGTTGTTGTGGTCTTATAGAATGAAAGTTTCATCTAGCCATTGGACATATGTATATATTTAATAGCATATTTTATACATATATAGGTAATGTTCGATGTAATCTAAAATTAAAAAAACATGCGAGATAATTACATAAAGAACATTCTGGTATTTACGCAAAGCCAGGATACAATAAGCAAAACGGTATGAACTGAATTAGGTTGGGATTTTTTGAGAACTTTTGTGTAAGAAAGCAAATATTGAACAGAAGCATATAAAGATATGCCAAAGATTATTATTTTTAGTATTGAGAAAAATGACCATATTACTAAGTGCATGTTTGTCGTTTAAAACGGTCAGAGAACTGATGTTACCGGAGTTAAGCTACATGAAGATCTCTATAAAATGTTATAGGTGGATGCTAATACAATCTGTCAGCGGCAAGGCAGCAGGAGTCAATGATTAACGACAAAATCAGAACTCACCGTGAACGTAAATTCAAATACAATGATTATCTCTCT